AGCCCCGGCCCTTCCTAAACAGCCAGGATGTCTCTTCCCCGTGCCACCTTCTTTTCCACGGCAAGTGTGGGAGGAGAGGCTCTGGTGCTGTCGCAGTTCATCAGCCGGCTGGAGGGGAGGAAAGTTGGCCGACGGAGCCCAGGCAGTGGAGTGTGTGGCGTGTCCTGGCCGAGACCCACACAAGGTCGATGGGGGAAGCCACTCCCTCCCTCTGTGGCCTGATCCCTGTTTGGCTGTCATGTTCTGCGGATCTTGTAAGGGTCCTATTCAGTCTGGTTGCCCCAAAGAGCAGTGAGGTGCTCAGCCTCCTGCTTGATGAGGGAGCTTGCCCCCTCTCAGGGTGCCCAGCTGAAGTCTCGGGGAACGTCTGCGCCTTCCCAGAGGCCCACGTGGCCTGGGGGCACAGCTGGAGGAGGAATTTTGGTTTCTCTGCATGTGATGGCTTTGATGTTTGGATGCCCTTCTCCTCCCTGCTCCCATCTGGCGTTGGCCCGGGGTTTTGGAAACTGGAGCAAACTGCCACAAGCTGGAGAATTTGAGCAGTAGCAGAGAACTGCCTGGCTGGAACCCGACCCCCATTTAGGGGTGTGAATGCATCGACCTCCAGGCTGGGATTCTCCTCTTCTGCCCTGCTGATGAGCCCAGAATGGTCAGTGGCCCATGGCAAGGAAGCCAAGGCGCTCTGCCGCCCACCCAAGTCTAGCGCTTCAATCAGGTCACCGATTTTCATGGGTCAGCGCTGGCGTCTCCTCCTCTGCCCTGATGATGAGCCCAGAATGGTCAGTGGCCCGTGGCAAGGAAGCCAAGGCGCTCTGCTGCCCACCCAAGTCTGGCGCTTCAATCAGGTCACCGATTTTCATGGGTCAGCGCTGGCGTGTAGGGCTGGCAGCCAACACGTTAGGAATGTGTGTTATTATGTCTATGCATGCTATACACACGCCCACATTCAGTAATTCCACCGCCTGCCTGCTGCTGCCTTACGCACTATAACACCTGCTACACGGTCACACTTCATTTTATTGATTGGTTGATTTAAAATATTTTTACCCTGCCTTTGTCCTTAAAAGGGACCCAAGGCAACTTACACCCGTAAAATACAGTATTTAAAAGGTAAAAACAGTAATTACACAAATACTGAAAAAAAGAATCAAGTGAATACCATACTAAAACGGTAAACAGAAGCAACACCAAAAACACATTCAAAGCAGGAAGGCACAACCATCCAATTTCTACTTGGGCAGTTAGTCACCGGGGGAAGAAAAGTCTTTGCCTGCTTGTGGAAAGAAAGCCAAGATGGGGCCAGTCTGGCCTCCAGTGGGAGGGAGTTCCAGAGTCTCTGGGAGCAGCCACGGAGAAGGCTCTCTCTCATGTCCCCACCAAGTGCACCTGGCCTTGTTTGAATATATTGATAGATTTGAGAACGAAATGTTTCTCTTCCCAACAAATGTTAAGCCTCTGCGTAAAATTTACTATGGAAAAAGGGGTTATAAACTAACCTCGAATGTACTGTGCTCAGGTCGCATGACTCTGCCCCATCTCCCACCTGGGGTTGCCACTTAAACATCTGCCCCCCCCACAAAAGACCCGGAACAACAACAACAAAAATTATGCCAATTTGAATAAAACGGTATACAGCAATTTAGAGTTACAGATGCAAAAATATAGAAATGGTTTTTAACAGGCTGAGAATGAATTGCAATAAATAGCTCTCCCAAGTGGCCGGGTGACCGGTTGGACGGCTGCGGAGCCTGGTGTTCCTGTTCGTGGATGCTGGACCCTGAGCCCCCTCTTGCTTCTCTCAAGTGGATATATATACACATTCTCTTAAGTTCTCAGCCAGGCCCTGGGTTTGGGCTTCCTGTGCATGCAGGGGGTCGCTCAGGAGACGGGCTTCCCTCCGCCTGCCCTTCTGATGGAGGACCGCCATCGCTTGAATGGGGCACCTCATGCTTCCAGCTCAGACCAGGAGCCAAAGGCCTTCGTGAGGCTGGCAGCTCTGGCACCCCATGGAAAGTGGGTCGCGAGGAAGAGGGCACGGCTGGCAAGTGTGTGTGTGTATATACCCAGTCTTCAGTACTGTGTTGGGAGCTAGCTTGAGGTGCCTCTCCCTGCGTTTCCTCCAGCTGTATTCTTTGCCGTCTTCCAGAAGAGCAAAGGCATCAATAAGATAGGAAGCAGAAGCTTCAGAGTGGACCTGGATGCGGTTAAGGCGTGGCTGTCAAGGATGATCTCAAATAGCAGAGAAGTGAGCCCTGTTTGCACTTTCTGTCCACTGAAAATCTTCCTGAACCTCTCAAATTTTTGACTGGCCTGCAGGCATCAGAACCTATCGTTGCAACAAGAACGAGACAGCTCCTCCGTGGAAACCCCAAAGGTTCCCCCCCCCCCATCCTCCCACCCAAAAATGACCACTTTCTGCTTTTTCAGTCGGTCCTGCCGGGCTTTGCCATCTTTCTCCGACTCTGCTCTTAAGACGACCCCCTTCGCCGCCACTCGCTCTGTGTTGCCTCCCCCAGGGAGTCCCCTCTTCTTTCCCCTTTATCGCTGCAGAGCAGAGGGGCAGAGGGTTAGAAGGATGCAAAGCAGGGAGACTGGGGGGGCGGGGGGGCTGCTGGGGAGACCAAAGCTGGTGAGTTGCAAAACACCCCAGACATCAAAGAAGCCTGCCTGCCAAGAGAAGAGAAAACCGGGGAGCTGGTGATGGCTGCTGCAGTCCATGTGTGATATAAATAACCGTTGACCCAGATTGTGCTTCGTGTGGAAACCCCATCCTAGGTCTGGCTCTTTGCAAACTGTTCGGATGCAAGCAATTGTAAATAGATATATAAATATATATTTACCTGGTACCTGGAACAGCAGGGAGACGTGTCCTGCAACATGGGAGAGGAAAGGAGAATGTGCCCCAGAACATGCACAGAGTGCAATTCCTGTGCCACTGAATAATCCCAGTCGAATTGTGGCCAGCCTCATCCTCAAAGGTTAAGAGGGCTTGCAGAGCAAAGCCGCGCCCTCCCAGCTCGGCTTGAGATTCTGATGGCCGGATGGTTCGTCTCCGGGCGGAATCGTCTTGTCAATTACTATTGTTCTCTATTTTATTATATCGCTTTAATGCCATTTTTTAATTGTTTAGACTTGGGTCCAAATGGGCAGGGTATAAATTTAATAAATAAATAAATTGTCACCTTGAGGCTGAAATCAATGAGAAAGCAGTGGTTTGAAATAAAATGGAAAACTTAGCCACTGGCGAGGCGGCTGTCACCGGCTGGTGTTGCTGGCATAATTGTCAGTGGGGGGGAAAGCTGCCTTTAGAAGAGGGGGAAAATCATCATCATCATCTCTTATGCTAGCTTTGATTAGGGTCTGAGTCATGCCACCGAGCCTAGTTCTATTGTTAGAGGAAAGAATTAAATATCTTGAAATGCTTGTGGGAAATGCTCGTGGATTGCTCTTCAGAGCAACCCAAAATGCGAAGGGACACTAGCCTCTGCAGATGAGCAAGTTGGGGTTTTGAGTGGCGCTATGCGCCCCTCGCGGGCAGTGCAGAGGGAGTCAGGAACCCGGTCGATGGGATTCGGGAAGAACCAACGCGAGGGTGGGGTGGCCTAGTTGGAGAGCCCAGCAGTTCCTTGAAAGGTCAGTCCGAGAGAGGGAGGGGTCGCCCCAATTCTGGCTGAGTATTGCTGAACAGTTGTGGGTGTCGGTGAAGGTAGGCAAGCCCCCCCCCCAAAAAAAAACAGTGGT